GCTTGCACTGATAACCATTGGCCTGGCAGTGGTTGCAAGGGGAGGATGGCATATCAAACGAGTCTTCAAAGGCCACGATGGAATCGCCGGCCGTGGTTGTTTCCCCGAGGCCAAGCGGGTTGTTGTGTTCGTAGTGCTGCAGGGCCCAGCTGGCAAAGTCATCATCGGCGGCATTCTCCAGGGCCAGATCCAGGTCGTTGGGATGGCGAGTACCTGGCATGGAGGCTGGGTCGATGCCGTCCCAGTTGATGAATGATTCCATTTCGTGGATGGTCGGCATGGTGCAGGTGTCAAAGGCCTCAAAGGGCGCAGCTGACGAGTACTAGTATGGTCTGTCCCTGTGAGACTCGGATAGCTGGCTGACGCTGGTTGGGTGGAGGAGGAGGAGGAGGAGGAGGAGGATGTAGTTCAGAGGGCGTAAGAACTAAGCGAACCAACAGTCCACGGGCTCGGACTTTTTCTTGACGGGATATAAAGATGGTGGGGAGAAGTCGACTCGGTCACATATAATAAATCCTTCAACACACAAGATAAGTGGAAAAGAATGTCTTGACGATGCGAAAAGGAAGAGTGACGAGGAAAAAGGAAGAGAAAAGTCCATTGACTCGACTTATCCAGGACGGGCATCCCATGCCATCAAGGGTATCGTAGGTAGCCTCTCCGACCTACCTACCCTCCTACCTTTCCCTTCCAGGACGGTGACCGGTTGGTCGCGGCACAGTCACACAATCCCGGACTGGATGGTCTCGCTGAAGGAGCATTGTCTGTCGACGGGCACCTAGTCTAGTCAATCAACATGAGTGAGTGAGTGGTGGTGTTGTTGCTCAAAGCGGAATCCAGTCATCCGAAAAGGTGGGGAGCGCGCCTTTCGATTGACATGCTGCACCACACCTTTGACGAGGACCCACCCTGCCAAGCTGGGGCTCCCGCTGCAGTCAACTTGAAGCCAGCCATTCCCCGCAATCGGACCTTCTTCCTCCAACTTGACCAAACATCAAAGACAAATTCCCTAGATTTGTACAGATACTTGAGGGATGTAGAGAAGATGCTCGTATGCAGAGTCGTCTCCAGGTTTTTACCCATACCATAAACGAATGGGTTGCCCGTCAAGCAATGTTCCAGTTTCTTCTGATATTTTCTGCTACATATATGGGTATCTTATCATAGTTCAGCTAACAGGTCTTAACAGTGATAGACGGCCGGGATCGGCAGAGCGCCGATATCGTATCGAGCAATGCCGTGTGTGCTCCTTCCTGCCTCTCGACCGCTGCCTCTTTCTGTTTCTGTTACAGTCCATCTTACGATTTTTAGGCAACCACTCACCTCGATCGACAGCGGAAAGATGGAAGAAGGAACCGGGCATCCCTCTCACCAGGCACATGGATTCGCCCACAACTTCGTGTCAACTTGTGAAAATGAGAAGACCACATGGCTGGCAATAGTTCATCCTATCTCATCTCTCATTAACTGACACGATACTATCCTGAAATGCTACTATCCTTTACCACTCGGGAAAAAAAGCCATCCAACATGATTACAACCAAATCACACACAATCCGTCGCCGCCCGAATCTCGACAAGTTGCCTATTCGTCTCCTTCACCACATCAACCGCTCTGCCAAAGGGCAGCATGCACGTTGCTGTGCTTATCAAGCTTGTCTATCGATGCCGGACCAGCCTTCAGGTAACAGTTTCCAGTATAGCGCCGCTCCTCGGCAGTCGACCTGTTCACCCAGGCTGGAATGAAGGAAACCGCCTTGCAGTCCCACCCCGGGTCTTTGCTGTTACTCTTGGGAAACACGTACTTGGACCATGATGCGCACGCATCCATACATGCCTCAAAGTCGGGCGTGAAGATGGCAACCAAGTTAATGCTGTTGGTTGTGTCGCGGTTGTAGTCTCTGAAGCAGTAGATCCTGTAACTGCGCTGGTCCAGTGCTAACCGTTCACTTGTGTCAGCTACAGCCTCAGGAGGAACGTCGAACGGGATCAGGACAGGAAACAGACATGACCTACATTTCAGCGAGGTGTAAGTCGTCCCATTTACTTGGTCCGACCGACTACCACATCCGCTATCGACTTCAACCCCCGACGGGGAAGTGGCACCGCCAATACCACCGGTCGATGTCATGGTTGCGGTTGTTGATGTCCCAGGAAAGGTCGAGGTCGTCGCTACCTGCACCGGATTCGCCGAGGTATAGGCTGCCAGCTTGTGGACAGCATCATTCGCCCTACTCGCCTCGATCCCCGTTCCGGCCGCCAATCCAATCACCGCAGCAGACAACAGCGCAATGATACACGACAGAACAAAGGTCAAGAGGCTGCAACCGCAAATCATCCTCCTCTTCCCGTCATTTTTGGGCGTTGTGTGAGCATCTCCTACATGTGCCTGCGATTCAATGGTCGAGCCCGCTATCGTGGTCGCGCCGCCATAGCCCGGTGAGGGCTGAGAAGGCGAGTATGGCGATGGTGTTTGTTTTGGTACCGGCGGTGAGTCGTGATAAGCCTCCGGGTACTGTTGGTGTTGTTGGGCATTATAGGCATGGGTTTGTGGGGGAACAACTTCGGGAAAGTTTTGAGAGGCCGCCTCGAGCCCGTCATCGTATCGGTGCTTGATGACAGGAACACGTTAGCGATCAAACTGTCGCATACTTGGAGCCAAGTATCCTGGTGATCTTACCGACTCCATAGCGGTGTAGCCGGAACGAAGCCCCGTTCTGATTCGTGTGTCTTACCAAGCGTCGAGGACGTTGAGAAAAGAAGCAAAACATTCCAGCAAAAGGATCTGGCGCGTTCATCAGGGGAAGCCGAGATAAAGGGAATACAAGAATCGTGCCTGAGAACCACTGATTCGAAGGCGTAGAGCACCATAACCTGACCAAGGTTCTGCGCCAATGCGGCAGAAAGCGAGCCTTGGCTGAAGAGGATGCCGTCCACAACCGTCAGGAAACCACGGGCGAGGTTTATGTGCCACAGCTGGGCTTCAATAGTAGGCCGCTCCAATCCAATTGCAGCTGCTTGGCGAGGAGGATTGCATCTCGAGCATCAATAATACTCTTTCATGGAACACAAGCTTTCAAGGCAACTCCAATTTGGCCCTCCAGCAATGACGATTAGAAGCTGCATCGACTTGATCTCCCAGCGCAGTGGTAAAGTCTTCAGGCTGCTGGTGTAATCATCAAACACTGGGGGAATAATTGGCAACCAAACCTCGTTTTCGACAATCGCTTTGCTTGAGGTTGATGATAGGCACCCTCCAAGTGTACGCCAGACGGAAGCATAACCAGATACACGCTTCTTCCTGTGGTGACTTCATTTCTGACAACCCTTTTGAAGGACAGCTACCCGATGCAAAACATACACGGGTATTGCCTTTTAGGGTACCTGAACCCAAGGATGGAACAACTCTTCCCTTACGCACGCGGCTCTAGACATCGATGGACAACACACTATATCTAGCCGCCGTCGATTGTCTCAAGTCGTTGCGGTCCGCAAACAACAAGTCTCGGGCTCTTAGCCTGCTGAGCGGGGCCAGGGAAGAAGAACGGCGGCACAACGACGGCATGTTTCATTAAACGGTCAGGCTGGAGCCCGCAGGGACAGGGGGATCGTCCGGCCCTACGCTCAAAATGGGGGTTTGACGGTAGGGATCCCCTGTGTAGCGTGTAGAGTAGAGTAATCTCCCATCTTTGATATCGAACATTGGAGGGACATAACAAACAGTGCACGAGATCAACACGTGGATGGTGTCGTATCATACATATTTCTTTTTTCAAGATTGGCGGTGATTGACAGAAAATTCAGGATCCCTTCTCCGAGCGTTGAGCATTTATCCGAAACATGAACGACACCACAGAGCTGTTATACTCGTCTGGTGATAGTAGTGTACCAAGGGAGGAAGCCTGCCAAGATTTCACATGCGTTCAGCACCGCGCTGCCCTACTGGATTTTAGTCCTGAGTGGGCTCGGGAGATGACTAGAGGTAGTGTAGCACCAACCCATAACAACCTGACGGGCAACACCAAGCGCGGAAGAGCGAACAACTTCACATTGAAGATTGATCATACGCGGTGGTACCATAGTAGGAAATATCTTCAGCCTCTTGTTCAAAAGCGGTGAGCAGCTGAGCCGAATCCCGGATACCTTAATTTCGCAAGCATATCCGACATCAAAGAAAAATCGTCAACGAGATACCGACGCCGTGTTGGCACTTTTAACGATCTGCACAGGCCGGCACGGTGAACCAAGGCCTGGGGGGGGCTACTCGCTATTTCCTAGGGGACCCTAGGGGGGAAAACGATGTAACCCAATCAACTGCCATTTGTGGAGATTTAATTGCTTCCTTTCCTTCGTCACTTTTTCCACTTGGGGTCTTTGATGGAGAACCGGGGGGGGGACCATGACTTACTTACCCTAACAAGTCCCTCCCGACCCCGAAGGGTCTTTTTCTACACAATGTGTTCCCGAGGACTTTAACAAGAACCTTTTCTTGTGACTGATGAGGACTTGGGAGAATTGAGGAACAGGCAAATCCGCGCCGGCGACTTTCTACGTGTTGTTGTCGTTGTTGTTTGCTTAGAGCAAGGGGATACTTGAGGAACAGGAGAGAGTTGACATTCGACTGGACGTCCAACAACCGAACATCCCCCCTCCCCCACTCGTTATCACGCCATCAAATCCGCGGGCACAATCGCCGAACGTACACACACACACTCCTTACCATACTGTACACCCATCCATTCATTTCACAGCATCCATCCATTTGGCTGGCTTAACAGAAAACCTACCTGCCACAGCTACTTATCCGCATCGAATCACGATTCCTCGCATTCCTCATCTCACCCGCCACGCCCAACCTTCTTCGTTCGTTCGCACCTGACGCCTCACCCACACTCCTTTTCATCACCACCAATCGGCAATTTAACAGCAACCACAACCACAACAATAACAGGAACGAAACCAACAACACACCCTTTCAAAAGCAAGCAACCACCAATCAAATGCCAACCTACCTCTGCCACGGCTTCCGCTGGCAGCGCCGCTCCATCCGCGTATACACCGTCGTACAAGACCTCGACGACGTCTCGCCCGAGTGGCTGATTCGGCCCACCAGCTCGCGCTGTCTCCTGCAGAGTTTCTATAACTTGTTTGAGTTCTTGCCTTATTGCTCGCCGCATGAACCTGAGACTTGGGATAGTAATGAAGACGAGGATGAGAATGAAGATGAGGATGAGGGGGATAAGTCTGGGGAAGAAAATGGGGAAGACAATGATGGGCAACGAGGAGTAGTGGCAGTACCGGATAATCGTGGAGAGAGAGGGAATGAGGAGCAGAGGACCCAGTGGCCGAAGCGAAAGGAGAGTCTTGGTGTGCTACGGGGTCATGGATCCGAGGGGACTATGGGAAAGGAGATGGGAAAGGGGATGGGAAAGGAAAAGAGAGAGATCACCGCCATCCCTGTGGGCAGTAACAACAGGTCGTCGATAAGTCGTACCCGTACCATCAGCCGCAGTCCAAGTCTGAGACTTCCATTGCAAGGCGCACGAACCCCGTCCAGGACGCGCCTGCAAGCTGCCGCCGCCGCAACTACTCCTACTACTCCTACTGCTCCTACTACTGCCACCACCACCACATCCGCCCCAGCCTCATCGAGAACTCCCAGCACCGTGGGAGTTTCTTCAGCAGAAAAAGGCCGAAAGGGCAAGAGAACGGGAGGCAGCAGCAGCAGCAGCAGGAGCGCATCCCACAGCCCCAACCGCAAAAAAGACGAGCTGAGCGCCCAACGGTGGTCAGCAGTCAAAGTTCTCGAGGAGTACGACCCAAACAACCTCGACGAAGTCTCGCGGCCTTATGCTTACGTGGCCGATCACGTGGTGCGCGTGGATGGAGCGGCGGATATCCTGGCGGAAGTAAGGCGGTACGAAGAGCGGATGCAAAGGCTGAGGCTGAAGCTGAAGGGGGCGGAGGAGAGAGCAGGGGAACGGGATCCCAAGGCTAATCGTAATAGCGGCGGGAGTGGAGGGAGTGCGGAATATCATGATGCTCTCGAGCACCTTGAAGAAAGCGCAAAGGAGAAGGAAGAGACCTGGATTGAGCAACTTCGCGATGAGCTCCAGCGTGGAGAAGAGATCAAGTGGTACGTGGTTGTCAACGGGGATGAAGAGCGCAATTATTCGAATCCGAGTGACTCCGACGATGAAGATGAAGATGAAGACGAGGACGAGTACGAGTACGACGAGTCGGAGGAACTCTCTTCCTCTGAGATTACCTCTAACTACGGGACCTCCTACCGCTACGACACCACCGAAGACTTACTGAGCGCCTCAAAGCACCCCTCCCTCGCCGCGTATCCACCATCCGAAGGCCGACGATCTCCCCTCTCCTACACCGGATCTGGATCCAGGACTTCATCTCGCAGCGGACAATCAAAATCACGAAGCCAAAGCCGGAGTCACTCTCGAACTCGAACCCGCCACCGTAATCACAGCCGGCCGAGACACGGAAAGAAGATACGCAGACCGAAACCGACCAAAGAACAACGTCAACATCATGCACAGTATACACTCCAGCAGGAACTCTTTGAGAGGAATGACTTGCGGGCTTCTTCAACAACTCCAACTCCAACTCCCACTTCAGCGACGACGACAATGGCCACAAGCACGAGAGGGACAACGCCAACAGCCGGACAAGCACCACCACCACCACCACCAACGGCTATATCTATGAGGAACACAGGACCGATCATCAAAGAAGGGGCAGCCAGACGAGTAGTGAGCGAGGGAGAAATCCATCCAGCCTTACGAGGGCAAGCGAGAAAGTCCGAGATACCGATTATCATGGTTACCCCTACGAGGTCGACGTTTCCTGATGAGACTGAGACGGAGACGGCTGGAGCTGTCGGTGAGAAGCGAATGGTAGAGCAGCCGCAACAACCCCAACCACAACCGCAACAGCAGCAGCAGCATCACCAGCAACAACAGCCACAACAGCCGCAACCACAACCACACCCCCAACAGCAACAGCACCACCAAATCGACCAAATAGAACCAGGACCCCGACGCGGCTCCACCGCAAGCGCCAACCCGGACATGGGAATAATAACATCCACCACCGTCCCCCTAACAAGCAGTTTCTCCCTCGACACCAGCCCCTCCAACGTTCCCACTCCGACCATCATTCCCACCGGCCTCACTCTCAAACCTCCCAAGAAGAACTCTACCCTTCCCACCATCCCCACCATTTCCACCGCTTCCCTTGTACGAAACAGGGGAAACAGACACAGCAGCAGCAACACAGGCAACGGCAGCAAACGAAGTTCCCTCACCACTTTACGGTCCCCCTCCTCTTGGTCCTGTCTAAGTCTTCATCTCGGTCACAGTCACCACTCAGATAAAGACAAGGATATCACCCGCAGCAGCAGCGGTGAGGGTGAGGAAGAAGAAGAAGAAGAAGAAGTAATCCCCCCGCCTAGACCGTCGCCTTCGCCTCCTATTCCCATTTCTCTGAATTTGAATCCTATGGGGTCATCATACTCGTATGAACCCGTGTCGACATTACCGCCTAGACCGGCGCCGGCGCCGCCTGGCTCTAAGCCTGTATCACGCGGTGGACAAGCTGAAACTGGATCAAATAATAAAGTCCCCACGGCGCCGTCGTCGCCGGTCGTGGTCAAGATTAGTGCTGGGCCTGCTGGGCCTGCTGAGGCACGGAGACTGGATACAAAGGCGCAGGGACAAGCGGCGGCGAGCCCAGTTGTAGGGCAGTATGCGAGTATGATGAGTAGGACGATGCCTACGCGGAAGGGGAACAGTGGAAACAGTGGAAATGGGAATGGGAATGGCAATGGCAACGGGAAGGAAAGTCGGAGGAGTAGGAGTAGTGGGAGTTTGAGGAGGTTGTTTCAGCGGGCTAGTGGGAAGGAGGGGTGGATTTGATTACTTTGGGGTTTACACCAAAAGCGGGGGGGGGTTGGATCAAAGAGAGGGGAAGAAGAGAGTAAGTATGTAATGCATGATGGGGAAGACGGAAGAAAAGAGAAAAGATATATAGACGTAGATGTTGAAAGAGTAATGTCGAAGGAAGGAAGGAAGGGATGTGAAGAAGAAGATTACCTATCATCAAAACGAAACAAAAGAACGGTTACAAGCCTACCTAGGTACTGTTACACTAGATCATATCTTGATGTGAAACTCGCATCGATTGACAACGATATTGTTTTTTTTTTGTTGTTTTTTCCCTATAGAGTACCTACCTACCTACCTAGTGAATCACACAAAAGGAAGTCTGATTGATCTCTCTTCAAGTTGGGCTTCAGGGACGACGGAGGATTAGAATTCCAGGTGAGATGGAAGGACCAGATAGATCTCCCTCCCTCCTTCTCTGTCGAAGAGCGGTAGAAGATGGAGGAGAATAGGTAAGTAACAAGTCAAAACCTAATATCATTCCATGGAAGACATTCAAAGTAATTCCGTTGAATGCAGTTCATGACTTCCTCTCGGTACTTGGTTGATGGCTACGGTTTATAAATTCCATCTAAGACCCCTATAAAGCGTTTCTCTTACCACCTCCGAATCTGCTCCTAACTCGCTCTTGGAAGTAGGATGCTCTTCCCTTTTTGGTGTAGCTCGCTTTGCTTCGGTTCAAACAATATGCGAGAAGTGACTGTGGAAGCTTGGATGAATATGAACGATGAGTTGAGATGTTTTGTATTTCTTTATGCTATACTGAATGCCAGATACTGACTGAGTCTTCAGACGACATGTGTCCTACGATGTGTGAAACATCAGCACAGTCCGCCAGGCTTCGTGGTCAAATAACCGCCCACGAAAGCTTTTACGCGGACCAACTGAGCGTGATATCACTCTTACTACACTTGCTGAAACAAGTACGATTACATGAAAATGTTCCCAAGGGTTCTCTTGCATCATTGCCCACCAACCTTGCGGAAGTCAACTCGTAAAACGAGTCGGAACAACGAGCCTTCTATAATGGAAATTCTTTCTACCAACGCTCCGTTCAGAACCGTTCCTGGGATGGAAATCGACTCCGGCTTTCTCGAGTGAAAGCATCGCTGGATTTTGTTTTTGAGGGCAAGGGAAGGAAGGAGGAAATGATGACTCGTTTTTGCTGACTGACGTCAAGCAAGGCGAGGAGGTAGAATAGTGGTAAGCAAACGAACAGAAAAGAGGGAGAGGGAAAGAACAAGCTGCGCGGCGAACCACACAACAACCGAGCATATGATGTCAATTGGGGTATCTGACTGCTCGTTCCAAAAGGTCTCCAAAGACGCTTTTTCCCGCTCCGAAATGTCAAGACGACAAGTGGTCTTGCGATACCTGAAATCACTCTAACGCCACGCTTGTAATCCGAGTCTCCCAACATACCTGATGATAATGTGCTTTCGTAAACAAGGTGCAACTCAATGCCCTATGAAGCCTCTGTGATGCGTCATAAAAAAAAAAAAAACCAAAGAAAAACATAACCATGCGATATTACTCCATTATGTGCTGGAACAAAGGCGAGATCGACTCGCCATAGTGGTTCCGACGAATTGCTTCCGCAAGGAGATACGACAAGTCAAGCACGGTCAGTTTGCTGGCGTTGCGAGCCTTTTCCTCCGGAATGGGGTAGCTGTTTGTCACGAGGATGTGATCAATGCAGTCACAATCCTGCAACTGCTCCAGGCAGTCAGCACCAAAGACGGCATGGGTGGCAATGCAGTAGACCTTCTTGGCCAGACCGCGCTTGACCACCGTCTCGGCAGCAGCGATCCAAGAACCAGGCTTGTCGATCATGTCGTCAACGATAAAGACGGTGCGGTTCTTGACGTCTCCGACAAGGGTGACCATGTGCTCCACCTTGGGGTCCTTCAGGATCTCCTCTTCCTCATCCGAACTTTCAGCTGCATCACCCGAGCCACCGAGGGCGGCGTGGTGCTGAGGAGCGAAAAACGACGAAGCGTGCGACATGGTCATCGGGTCGTCTCCAGCGACACTGGTGGCTGCAGAGACGGCCGGCGACTCAAAGTCATCCGGAACGATGTGGCCTTGGACAAGACGAGCCTGTGTAACCTCGTGCGCACGCTGGTCATTGTACTCGACGCCGTCCTCGCCTTCCTCGTCAACACCGTCCAAAGCCGAGGTCGAAGAACGCAGGCGAGACGGCAAAGACTTGGCGCTGTGCATAGACGATCCATTGGGACGGCGCGCGGGGCTTGCAGTGCCTGCAATAGGCTGGGTGATGTTGCTGACTGAGGGCTCCTCATGCTCAACTGCCTCGTTGACCTGCTCGCCGATGGGGTCCAAGACAGCATCAATGGGGTTGAGAAGCATGCTACCAGTCATGTTGCCATTGCCTCTCTTCTTGTCGGTGGTGACCATGCCAAAGTTCAGCTTGAGAGCGTCGGCAAGCGACGTGACGCGCTTGGTGCCACCGGCGTTCTTGGACACGACGACAGCCTCTTTCCAATCGGGGACGTTTTGCCTGATCCAGCGGGCAATAAGAGGCTCGGCGTGGAGGTTGTCGACGGGGCACTTGAAGAAGCCCTGCATCTGAGAAGCGTGCAAATCGACCGTGATGATGTGCTTAACACCAGCAACGCCGAGAAGATTGGCAAGCATTCTCGCAGTGATGGCACCGCGGTGCGACTTCTTCTTAGACTGGCGACTGTAGGGGAAGTATGGCAGGACGGCTAGAAGGGGGGCCTGGTCAGCCTTCACACTGGATGGATTGCTGTTGAGCGGCAGACATACCAGTGATCTTGCTGGCAGAGCCTCCCTTGCATGCAGAGATCATGATGAGCAGCTCCATGATGGTGTCGTTGATCTTGGGGCTACCCGACTGAACGACAAAGACATCCTTCTCGCGGACGCTAGTGAGGATGCGCACGCTCGTCTCTCCATTGGAAAACTGGGTGAGCTCAGCATCGGCTGGCGTCATGCCCAGGTTCTCGCATACTTTGCCGGTGAGGGCCGGGCACGAGCTGCCCGAAAAGATGAGGGTGCCGCGCATTGTGAAAAGGAAAAAAAAAGAAAGAGAAAAAGAGTGTTGGTGAAGTCGGGGGAAGAAAAGTTGGGGAGCGGGATTTGAAGGGAGGAAATCCAGTTTCTTTTTTAGTTTTTTGGTTTTTTTTTTTTCTCAATCCTGTCCTCGTGCCCCGCAGCGATTCAGGTAAAGGTGGGTCCAATGGCTGAAAGGAGGGACCTAAGGGAAGGATCTGGATCTCCCTCCCAGCCCCAGGCCGATGTCGTCTGCCGTTTTTTTTGCCATTTTCCCGTACAATTGTCGCAGCTTGCAGTCAGTGCGGCCCTGACAGTCTTGATAACCTAAGATAAGCATACAGTGTGCAGACATAGAGGTACTATTCGTTCTATTAGGTCTATATCTCATCTGAAATCATACAACAACCACTGCGAACATAACATTTCGGAAAAGCATGATTACAATGGGAAATCTTCAATGGCCAGATAAAGTCTTATCTGAAGCGTGTTCTCTTGGGAACCGGGCCGCATGGCTGTGAAAAGGCAGTGGAATCCAGGCGGCAACGATGCCTACCGCGTTCCCTTGCTCCTTGCACTCTTAACGGCCAGCTTCATTATGGAAGGTATAGGAGCACCGTCATTGCCAAGCACCACTTCGTTTGTGGATAACAGAAACTCTACGGGAAGTGATAAAACAACAAACACAACTAAATCGATACGTTGTCGAGAAAGAATGCCAACACCATGGAATCCCACAATCAACAAAGAGAATGCCGAACTCCCATTCGCACTGTATGCCAACTTCACCTCAAAACACCACACACCAACGCTTCAATGAAACCAGCTGCGATTCTGATGTTTGGACGTTTCAACTACCTCACCTCAGACAATTATTTGGCAAGAGATCCTTGACATCTCAAACCCCCATCCCCTTCACGGGTCAAATTTCCACCCAGCAACGCCTCCTAACGGAGAGCCATTCCAAGAGGAACCTGAACCCATCACACCCCGGGATCGCGCACACAAAAAACCAAGCGGCGAACGAGCTTCTCTAAATCACCAGACGAATATGGGCATTCCACACCTCAGGAAACACCTGGAGCCTTATGCGCAGCGAGGCGCAATCCAACCAAGCAGTCTGGTCATTGACGGGCCTGCACTTGCATATCACATCTTGAACCTGTGCCGAATAAAAACTATCAAGAATAGTCCCTTTGAGCAACCAACCTATGAGCTGCTAAGTCGAACTACCCTTGAATGGCTTGACCGGGTCAGATCGTGCGGCCTCACCATGTAATTCGTACTCCTCGGCCCAAACTCTCCCAGTAGCATACTAATGTTCGCCCAAAGTTCGAGGATATTTTTCGATGGCTATCTTCCCACGTCCAAGACGCATGAGCGGACCAAGAGGCTCATGAAAACCTCCAAGGAATTGCAGGGCTTTCATAGAAAACACGTAAACGGACTCGCGCACGGCCGCCCCGGCTGGAATTCCAACAGGAAAGTCGGCCTGTTTCCCGAGGCTCAACCGAGTCAAAACGGAGTGAGCCCACCTCCACCGGCCTTCTTCGTTCCGTCCATCATCGATACTCTGAGACAGTCGGAGCATTACGCCTCGCAAACAACGGTGGTGCCCGGAGAGGCCGACGTGTTCTGCGCCCAGTATGTCCGGGAACATGGCGGGACAGTTCTGACATCTGATTCGGACCTGCTCGTACACAATTTGGGCCCCAACGGTAGCGTTGTCTTCTTCTCGGATATAGAATGCAATCCGGCCGGCACAGAGATCACGGGCTTGCAATTCAAGAGTGCCGACATTTGTGAACGTCTCTCTCTTCAGCCTGAGGATGGCCTTTCGTGTCTGGCATTCGAGCTCGTGATGGACCCACACATCACGCTTGAGCAAGCAGTCTCGAAAGCCAAGAGCAAGCACTCGGTCGTCGCGTATCCCGGCGCGCACAAGGAGTTTACTGAGCAATATCTCTCCCCTGAAACGGCGTCTCAGATCCCGGTCGAAGCATCCGTCACGTTGGACCCCCGGATATCAGAAATCGTTCTTCGGTGTCGGGACGAGAAACCGGCCATGTACCTTCCTTTCCTCTTGGACTCTCCAACTCGAACTAGTGCGTGGGAATCGAGCAAAGACATCAGGCAGCTGGCATACGCTATCCTACAGACAGTCACTGGATCACCAATACCGACGGTTGCCGAATTCAGGAGGCTTGATCAGCCGTCAGCAGGGACACCTGTCAAGGTGCCGCCTATCTCGGAGGTCGAGATGGACGCAGCTGTTCTTGAGGATGTTTTGTCATCGATCATCAAAGCCGTGAAAAAGCCCAAGGCAGTTTGGATGACACTATCGGTCTACCAAGACATTGTCATGACCACCAGCCAAGGGAAGGTCCAACCACTCAGTTTAAAGGTACTCCAGCAAGCAGTTGACGAGAAGCTCGACACCACGTCTTGGGAGTCTGTACACTTCCTTGCGCAGTGTCAAGCGACTTACTACTCGCTCAGGATGCTACAGCAAATCATGGAACACGCCGCTTCTCAGGGTAAGGGCCTATCGCCCGCCTTGAAGGAATTGCAAGACTGTTTGACCAAGCTTCCTTCTCTCCCGGATTTCCCCACCATCTTCAACTTCCCAGAGATGCTCCAACTGATCATCGACAACAAGGGACTGTCCTGCTTGACCAAGATATGCGCCGACCAGGATGATATGGTGCCGCAGCTGGAGGCCATCATGCAACCCAAGAAGCAACCAAAGTCGAACAAGCGGAAGAACTCGCAAGAACCTGAGGCAAGGCCGCGCTCCAACAACCCATTTGCGCTCTTGGATGCAGAGTGCTAATCAGTCCTCAAAACACTTCAACATAGCCCGACGATATACCCATGCCAAAGAATCTTGATGGAGACCAACCGCAACCTATCTCCCGCGCCAGCTGGATGCTGCTTGAAGTTTGCCATTTGCCGGTTGAAAGTCACTCCTAATGTTATTCTATACCCATCCCTCGAGTGACGAGTGACCTTCCAGAAGCTTTTGCCCATCCGAGATACATATGTACAGGCACCCTTGCCAAGCAAAACCACAATGTGTGTGACTGTGCCCCTGGCTGCGATGGAACCCTGCTGGCCAAGAGGTTCCAGGTTCCACCAAAAAAAGGCTCTTATCGTTATCGTGCCTAGCAAATGCCCCTCTAAAAATTTTAGCACCCCGCCGCCAAAGTCCCTGGAGCCCTGGGGCCTGGGCGCATGGCAATTCGTAGTGTACCTACGTACCTAGTGAGACGCCCTGCCCGGCGTTGCCCCTCGCAGCAGGTGATTCCGTCCAGTCTCAGATCGCTGTTTTCTTATCAGATCTTTTACACACGAGTCCATCGCCGCCGTCGTCCTCCTCCAGAGTCCTCCCCGTCCTGTTTTCTGATTCAAATCCATACATATTCCACCCTCTTAATCCACGTCCCCTGCTCTGTCTTTTTGGTCCGTTTATTGGGCAATTCCAAAAGAAAAACCAATTTTCCCAGCAACAAGTTTGACAACACACACTCACATACACAATGTCAGCCACCATCGCCAGCCTGCGCGAGAGTCTCTGCTCCGAGACGATTCCACTGCCCATTCGCTTCCGCGCCCTCTTCTCACTCAAGCACCTTGCCGTCCAAAACAAGGGCACCGCCGACTCGCTTTCCGCCATTGACGCCATCGCCGCCGCCTTTGCCTCCCCCTCGGCCCTGCTCAAGCACGAGCTGGCCTACTGCCTCGGCCAGACGGGTAGCGATGCCGCCATCCCTCACCTGACGCAGGTGCTCGAGGACCTGCAGGAGGATCCCATGTGCAGACACGAGGCGGCCGAGGCGCTGGGCGCGCTGGGCAACGCTCAGAGCTTGGGCGTGCTTCAGAAGTACCTTCATCGCGAGGGCGAGGACGTTTCTGTCAAGGAGACGTGCGAGATTGCTATTGATAGGATAGAGTGGGAGAATTCGGAGGAGAGGAAGCAGGAGAAGTTGCGCCAAAGGTACATTCACATTGATCCATCATATTTCTGTTCTGTTCTGGCATTCTTTCCATTTGGTGTGCTAACCGCAGAAAACTACCTTTTTCCAGTGACTTTGCCTCGGTTGATCCCGCCCCTCCCATGCCCGAAGAAGACGAGAAGCAAACGGTCGAGACGCTCGAGAAGAAACTACTGGACACTTCGCTCCCTCTCTTCAAGAGATACCGCGCCATGTTCGCCCTCCGCGACCTGGCCTCTCCTCCCGACCTGCCGACTGCCGTTCCCGCCATCCTGGCCCTGGCCAAGGGTCTCAAGGACGAGTCCGCCTTGTTCCGCCACGAGATCGCCTTTGTGTTTGGACAGCTGTCGCACCCGGCTTCCATCCCGGCCCTGACCGAGGCCCTCAGCAACCTCGACGAGGTCAGCATGGTCCGCCACGAGGCGGCCGAGGCTCTGGGCAGTCTTGGTGATGAGGAAGGGGTCGAGGAGACGCTGCTCAAGTTCCTTCACGACAAGGAGAAGGTCGTTCGCGAGAGTGTTATTGTTGCGCTGGATATGGCCGAGTTTGAGCAGAGCGGCCAGGCTGAGTACGCGTTGATACCCGAGGTTGCTAGCAAGGCGTCGTAAAAGATGGGACTGGAGTTTCTGATGTTGTTGTTTCGTTCATTGCTTGTTTTTTTTTTTTTTTTTCCTGAGGCGAATCATGGATGGATGGAAAGGTATCTCAAAAAGTTTATGCGTCTTTCTCTCTCTCAGGAATATACCAATGCGACTGATTTTCGGTCCTGACAAAAAAAGGGGTATCGTTGTTGTAGTTGTAGCAGTTGTAACAAGGCAAAGCCGTCGTCACTAAGGCTCGGCTTGCCAATGCTGGTGCTAGTAGCTGTTTCATTATATGTCGTTTGATCCAGACCAAACCGAAGCGACCTAAACAGCATTCCCAAGTTCGTAAATCCAATTGCAGCAGGCAATCTTTGCACTCAGTTGTTGACCGACCATCTGTGTTGTACTTCGGATTAGCACAGGGACAAAAAAGCAACCGCCCGGAGTCGCATACCTCTCTCCGCAGTCGCAGTTGTAAAGAATTGTTGAGCCTTCGTCGGCGCTTCGCTGCTGAACTTCCGAGTAACGGATACCGCGCTTGCCGCACTTGGGGCATTCCGTGTTGGAGTCGATTCTCTCCGTGTTGAGCTCGTGTCTTACGACGGTCTGGACGATATCCAGCTTCTGGCGCAAAAGCGAGGGGAAATCGGACGGCTTGGACTTGGTCACGACGGTTCTGGAGGGGCGATCTAGAATGGGACAAAAAAAATGGTCAGTTTGTTTATATTGCAATCTTCGGACAAAAGATTCCTTTTCGAATACTGTCTTCTAAAGGATAATGACTGGGTAAATTGAATGCGCACCTCTGTTTTCGGCACCGCAGCATTCGCAGTGAAGAATGTTCTTTTCGCTGCCCTTGGAGACGGGCAAGAGGTTGCCGCAGTCTGTGCAGAAGATGAGGGATCCGATGGCTGCCATTGTCGTTTATTTTTGGTTTTGTCGGGTGTGGTTGGATGTCGTCGGTTTGGATAAGTTTTCTGTTGTTTCTCGCAGTAAACAATTCGCTTGGAAGGGACCGGACTTGAAGATTTACAACGGGCCTGCACGGAGACGATCAATGGCACGGCAAACCATGGCAATTGATTGGGCGCGCAATGGAACATTCCACTGGGGGACCCTCCTGGTTTGCTTCCTGGCAGGCAACCTAACTTGCTTGGCAGCGAACAATGAAAGCCGGGGCAGGCTACAGGTACCTACTTTAGCATGCCCGGGCGATGACGAGTGACGGCGGAAGGCACAACCGCAACAAGGGAACCATCCATCCACGCTGATGACACGGCAGGTGGGACCAAGGGAATCTGCCAGGCCCCATACCCAGCGCAGGCCGCGTGTTTCTGGCGCTGAGTTCAGTTAGCGTGACCGCGCGCCGTGCCAACCAAGCTCACAGGGCTGTCTGTTTCCCGTGTTGGCGTTGTGCGTTGTGCCTGCCCGCCCTGCTTTGCGGATCGGTCAAATCTGGGGAAACATTTGGATCCATTGGACTTCATTCCTTCCCTTGAATTCCAGTTTGGGTACAGTACCTGAACTTCACCTTCCTTGAACCTCAACATCGATCATACGTACTTACCTATTTCTATCTGTCTGTTGATCAGTCCCCTCACTCTCAGGTTCTGTTAGTTGTTGGTCCGAACACATGGAAGCGACGACATGGACATACTACCTGTGCCTGCAGCTTGATTTCCTCTTTTCCTCAACCACCATCATCCATCTCGTCTTCTCCAAGTCCGACGCGCCCAGGCCAACACACTGACCCGGGACAAAGGCCCCTCCTCCGCGACTACACGACTCCGCCGAAAGCAGTCGGTTCGCATGGCAACAACACCTCCGGCTCTCGTCTGAACTTTGGGCTCCGAGTCCTGACGTGCTGCTGCGTCTACTACTGCCGCTGCTGCTGCTGCTGCTGCTGCTGCCGCCGGTGCCCTCCGGCTGGGACGACACTTGCGCCGAATACACTCGACCATCCAAATCACCATGCGCTAATGCTGCTGTCAAAGTGATCAAGCAACAATGGCATACCAGCATCCACACCACCACAGCATGGATCCCAACGCCCAAGACTACCATGGCTCCCAAGGCGCGCCGGCGTCCTCATCGACGCAACAAGCTGGTGCATTCACGAGACCTTTTGCCCTCTACGAAGCTCTGCCCTATACGCCTTTCACCTCGATCGTGCCTTTTGACCCAAGTAAGATCAAACCATCCCAACTCTGAGACACTCCATGTTTGCTCCTCCCCCGTATATCGTCATGCCTATCTCCTCTCCTCTTCGTTCCAATATCGTCACTCTACTTCTAACCATTCATGTCTTCACCTCTAGGTATCTTGCCGACACCCTCGATCGGAGCTGCGTCGCCCGCCCCTAGCTTAATCGACCTCCTTAACACTCAGGACTTCGATGGCCTCAATCAAGAACTTCATGACACAGGTCCGAGCAAACGCGTTCAGCACACACTCAGTCAAGTCCAACACTTGATAGAGAGGGCGAATATCACAGAGTTGTACGTTTTGACGAGGAAGTGAGGAAGAGTCAGGACTGACCACCTCACAGCAAATTCAAGATCGGGCCGAAAGCGCCAACCAGCGGTACTTCTTCTGCTGTTGCCCCAATAGCCTCGTTGGCTTCTACACTATCTCCATTCTCAAAGATGGTTTACGAGCAAACGTCAATACCGTTCAGGTATCCAACACCAGATACCCCCGGCATGACCTCTACTGCAAATGTTCAGCAACAAAAGGTCGAGCGGACTACGCCCGTCCCCATCAAACAAGAGTCACCGGTTCCCCCACCGAAAGTCGAGCATAGAGCTGAGAGACATACTCCAACCAACACCCCGAAGAACCGCCAAGCGTACTCGCAGAACCGGGCCCGGTTTGAAATAGTGTTACCTACCAGGGCCGAACTGGAGAGGGCCCAGGCGGCTCTTCAAGCCACTTCGAGCCAGGGAATCGCGTCAAGTGAACCACCAGTCTCAACTCGGCCACCCATTTCTCAGCCTCCGCCTCAGTTTGCACCCATACAGCCGGCACCCCTTCAACCAGCACCACAGCAGCCTACGCTCTCGGCGCCTCCCGAGTTAGCTGCACCCGTGCCTCCGAAACGGCCTAGTGAAGAGGTAGCTGCTCCTGCTGCGCCGACTGCTGTTGTTAGTCCGACAAAATCGACCTCTCACCCCCCCTCCAACTCCCAACGACCAGCTGTTGCTATTGCTATTGAGCTGCCTCATGCGCCTACTTTTAACAAGAGTGAGTATATGGCTGTTCCCGATGAGCCTGACGAGCCGGTCAATCTTTCGGAGCGAAAACGGAAACGAGAAGACCTAGACGAGGAGCTATATGGGGAGAGCCTGGGTTTCCAGCAGCGAAGCAACGCTGCCCTTCATGATCTCAAAGTTTTCCTACAACAAGTATTCGAGGCGGAGAATTACGCTGTCCATCATCGTACATCGAACGAATGGGTGCTGCTAACTATTGATGGAGAAAGCACGCTATCTCCAGTGTGCCAGACCAAGGCCCAAACGCTATTGGCAAAGGTCATTTCGCTGAGCTGTTTTCACAAAGTTCCGCTCCAAGATCTTCTTCGCTTACTACGATTGTGCGAAAACGCCTTGAAGCAAGCCGATTCTCTAGAGATCAAGGTTGAGGAGTCATGGGCCCCCGCGGATGTTGATTCGTGGATCCAGCAGCTTCCTGCGTTAGAAACAGCTCTCAAAGCTGCCAGGACAGCACTACGCATGATGTGCGGAGGGCGTGAGGATAAACAGCTATACTCGGAGGATACAATCGATCAGTCACTTAATCTGTTCAAGAGGGTAATGGACGGTATTGTGATTCCGGTTGCCGAGTTGAGGAGTTCCGATAACACAGCAGAGCTCTTCAAGTTACTTTCTTCCCACAAAAAGAGGATCGCATCACTCTTCAACGACAGCCAAAAACTGTTTTCGCAGATGTCAGTACTTTTGACCAAGATTGACACATCAGATACGGTCACCAACACCCTGGAGTTTACGGCTTCACAACTGATTTTCCTCGAGACCGCTCACGCAGAAAGGGAGTCGGTTCTCGACACTCAAAAGTTTGATGGCTTCCGTCTTGTGGCTATGGATATGTTATCGCAGATCTTCCATTTGAATCCAGCCCAACGGCAAGGCATCTTTGACGAGATTCTGACATCGCTAGAAAAACTGCCACTGGGAAAGCGTGCTCGGACGTTCAAGTTGGTTGATGGAAGTAGCATACAGCCTGTTTCTGCATTGATCATGCGATTAGTCCAAACCAGCGCAGGACAGGTTGATGAGACCAAGACACACGGAGGCAAAGCTCTTCGCTCAGATGGTGATGATGAAGAGGACGAACTGGCAGGCGCAGTGACCAGTGGGAAGCAGCTGTCCTTTGTCATTCGTGATGAGGACCACGGCGCAATCCAACATTCCACTGCAATCCAGGAGCTTACCGTTCTTGCAACGCCCTTGATGGACACGGCGAAGCGGAATGCTTCTTATGTTGTCAACTTCATTGTAAACCGTGCGCTGACGTCTACCAAATCTGGCGATACTCCGTATCGTAACCTTCTCGATCTCTTCGTGGAAGACTTTACAACCTGCTTGGACAACCCAGATTGGCCGGCAGCCGAGCTTCTGCTTCGTCTGCTGAACTTCATGATGGTTAAACTCGTGGAGGGTGATAAGACAAGCGTTACCGCCAAGAACATGGCCCTTGAACTGATGGGCACCATGGGCGCTGCGATCTCCAAGCTTCGCAGTCATGTCCGGAAGACGGCGAATGCTTTGGATGCTAGGGATGCGGATGAACTGGGACTTTTCCTGTCGGATCTTGCTGCCTCGGCACTGGAGCTGCGATCACGCCCGGAAACCATGGTTGCTTGGGTTGGTCCATATCGGGCGACGTTGGAATGGCTCGAAAGCCGCTTCACCGAGGACCCACATCTCGCAAGCGCTATCAGCTTTATCATCTCGGATTGGGGCACAAAGGTTTGTGTTGGGTATGATTCTTGCGAAGATGATGACCGCGAGCGCGATCAAGAGTTTGGCAAACTGGCCTACAGATTGCGACAGATGATCCAAGACCGCCGATGGCTCTCGAACGAATACTCTTTTAAGAAAGTATCACCTAACCAGGCCAAATTGTCGTATTCCATTACATTGTTGCGGTCGCAATTATGCGAATCCTTCGGCGCAATTCTCAACATCTTGCTCGGTTCGATGGCTAGCGACCAGCCGACCGTCAGGAGCAAGAGTTTGAAGAGCATCAATCAGGTTCTGGAGACGGACCCGTCTATCCTCGATGGTGATTCTGTGGTGGTCCAGCTTATTCTGCGCTGCTCAAACGATTCGTCAACCCAAGTTCGAGACTCGGCACTTGGCCTTATCGGCAAATGTATCAGTATGAGACCAGAGTTGGAGACCAAGATGATCGGAACTGTGGTGGATCGCTTCATCGACGCTGGACCAGGAGTCAGGAAGCGGGCTATGAAACTTGCCAAGGACATCTACCTTCGAAACAAGAGCAAGGCGATCCGCAGCGCCATTGCAAACGGTCTGCTTCACCGTGTGCAGGACCCAGAGGAGAGCGTGAGGGACCTGGCTCGTCAGGTTATCGAGGAGATATGGTTTATTCCCTTTCAGGAGGGCGAGAACTCTGCATCATCTCAGATCTCCCTCTCGGACCATGTTGCCTTGATGGTTCAGACGGTCAAGCAAGGAAACGTGACCAATGTCTTGGACAAAGTCTTGCAGACTCTCTTGGCCCCGGATTCCAAATCTGCGGCGGCATCGTTGGAAGTCTGCAGAAAGCTGGTTGCAAGCATGTTTGAGCTGGTGGACAATCCTGAGTCGGGAGATTCGTCTGTTCCTTCGGGTCGCGATGCTCTAACCGTCCTTCAGATTTTTGCAAAAGCTGATCCGAGCCTTTTCACGTTTGAGCAACTTCGACTTCTCAAGCCTCATATCGACAGCATGAACAGCAGCGAAGACTTGGTTGTGTCGCGGGCGGTCGTTGTCATCTACAAAC